TTCCCCCCTTTTCCCTCTTTTATTAATATTTTTTAAAAACAAAACAGCCTGAGTCCATTTACCCGGTCAAGCCAGAGGCCGTGAATTTCGACTCTAACAGCTCCAGCCGGCCCTGCATCTCCGTAAAAGACTTAGCTCGAGATTCGGCTACAGCTCGGGGCAGGACTACGTTCTGTGGACGTGGGGAAAAAAGTGGTGAAAGCAAACGGACATTTATTATATATTATTTGGCAACTTGGAAACACGTGTGTCACTTTCCCCATAAAATACGACAGCTACAGAGTTGAAAGTTGGCAAGTACCCGCAAAAAGATACAGTGGTAACCATATGTAACAGGCCCAGTAATAACAGGGATCCGGTAATAACAGGGATTTTATAAATCCCCGTTTTTTCCTACTCTTTGTCTCTATTAAAAATTATCGGCAATAACAGGGCGCGTCGGAGCCCAACTGGTTATGGCAGGGACAAAGACTCGTTAACAATGTGTAAAAAGTAAGAGAGAGAGTAACGCAGTGATGGGGCAAGCCCACGCAAACCATGCCTCTGTTGTAAGGTTGTAAGCACACACCACATGTGAAGCGAGAGAGGGCTGCGGTGTGCTGCAGACCTCGATATAGCCGGAAACCTAGCAACACGCACGCGTAATATGTCACCAACGATGTCAAGCGCAAGAGAAAATGCCTTTCAATTGACAAAAACTTCGAAGTAATCCAGGCTGTTGACTAAAGTAAAAGCAAGCTCCACTGGCAGAGATTTGTCGTTAGTTCGACAATCCACAAGGGTCGATTGATACCATTATCAAGGATAGAGAAAAGATAGTGGCAGCATACTCCAATGGAAAGTTTGCTCTGGATCGAAAGAAAATGAGACTACCCGATACAGATGCTGTGGACCAAGCTTTTTCTGGTGTGGTTTAAGGGGGCAAGGATAAATTTGGTGCCAAAACCCCTATTCGTGGGTACTTGTGGCACGGGAAACTACTCATGAATAAGTACAGCTGGATTACATGTAGGTCCACGTGACAGAGCAAACCCGATTTTTGATTTATTAATTTTCTGAATTTAGAAAATAATATGACAAAAAGTTTACGTCCTTCTTTGGCTTTTGTGATTATTCCACTGAGAAACGAAACAAATCTGCGTAGCTGTCCTTCCCAACGGAAGTGCCGGAAGTTATATTTCGCGAGGAGCATTTCGTTTTGAGAGTATAGACTAATAAACTGTCGCAGATCTGGCACTGGATGATGATGATGATGATGAGACTAATAAAGATCTAGACCTTCTAGTACACTATAAGAAGACAGAAGGCGGGAACAGCCTTGGCAGCGGACATGGAAAACAGCTGGTAAAACAGAGCGGGTGTCGTTGTTGGAGGGTTACACCCTGCAGAGGACAGACAAACTAGGAGAAAAAAAAGGGAAAGGAAAGTTTTGAACTGCGACATTATGCTTAGGCTATTGAACGCATGGTTTGAGAATATTTAGGGAAAAAGATGTTCACTACCAAACTAATTTTTTGTAACAAGTTTTGCCTCTTAAAAGTGTCAAGTGGGTGGTTGGCGGGTGCTCTGGTGTGGTTTGCTGCTTCTTTCCTATCAAACATCTATCGTCCTTATCTCCCCTTCTTCTTTTTTTATGTTTGTTACTCTCTTGTAACACCTCAAATCTTCTGGCGCTCATATGACCTTATGCAGTTGCGAGCGCCGTAAAACCTCTACTAAAAAAAAAAAGTGTCATTCTTGAGCTGTAATGTAGGCCACATGCGTGTGCAAAATGTGTGTGAGAAGCGGGAAGTGCTGTGAACAACCCCATTTTCTGCGTTACGGAGATTTAGAGCTCTTTCATTTTAATTTTAATTTATAAAGAAAAGTTTATAAATCTAGGCTCAATAGTTGTGGAAAAATATGATTAAATTCAGAAAAATTGATACAAACTGCCATGCAAACTCCCCACGCACATAAACCCCCCCCCCCAAAAAAAAACTGTACTGTAGATATTATTTTTACTTCTTCTATCCTCTGCTTTTTCTGTTGTTCCACCCAAAATTACAGCAATTCAAAACCATGATTTCAATCTGCAGGTTGTAAAGTACATTCTGGAACTCAAAATTACAAGTTAGACAGTAAAAAATGTTCCGAAAACGATAAATCTTGCCCTCACTACGCCATTGTTTTCGGTCCCCAATTCCTTACAGGTCACGTGGCACAGAGCCCATTTTGTATTTGCACAGAGCCCATTCTGTATTTATAGAATTCTGTGGCTTTTACCCAATGCATGATGTCCGTTATTAATCAATTATATAGCATCTTTTGGTGAAACTTCAACAACTCTTTCAATATTAAACCCCATCATACCTCACCCCACCCCACCCCAACCGCATCACACCTCACCGCACCTCACCAAACTCTACCATATCCCCACTAAACCCCACCCAACCCACCTCACTCTGCCCCTGCTCACTGACCTCGACAACCCACATTTCTGTGGCTGGTTATCGGGTGCTCTGATGTGGTTTGCTTCTTCATTCCTATCAAACTTATCGTCCTAATATTCCTTCCTTCTGTTTAGTGTTGGTTACTCTCTTGTAACACCTCTAATCTTCAACACTAATATGACCTAATTGTATCTCTCTCTCTCTCTCTCTCTCTCTCTCTCTCTCTCTCTCTCTCTCTCTCTCCCTCTCCCTTTTTAACTCCCAGTGGAGCACAGGCCATAAACAACATTGCTCCAGCGAAGCCTGTCCTGTGCTTCTTTTTCTAGATGTTTCC